CCCCCCCCCCAAACTGACCTTCTCATCACAGAGAGCACAGCAGTAGATGACCCGATGCTTCAGGTAGTGTTTATCCAGGTAGATCTTACGGCTGGCCCAGTAGTCACACAGCTCACACTGTAATACAAGCACAGATTGATGGAGTATCACACACAGATGCAGAGACAAACACACAGACACACACACAGACACGCAGAGGAGACATAGAGAGCAGATGACCCGATGCTTCAGGTAGAGTTTGTCTCGGTAGATCTTACGGCTGGTCCAGTAATCACACAGCTCACACTGTAATACAAGCACAAAGACAGAGAGATAGATCGACACACAGTTAGTGTAACATACACACATACTGACAGACTTAAGCTCACACTAAAACACACACACACAGATAGACAGAGTAACACACACACACAGATAGACAGAGTAGCACACACACACACATATACACACACAGTAGTCAACCAGTTTACAGTGTAACACACACACACACAGAAAAAGTGAATTACACAAGTTTTCTGGAACGCAACAATGACACAAACAGGAGAAGCTACCTGCTGGACATGAGGCAAGTCCTTGATGTCGTGAATGAATAGATGTCGGTCGCGGTCGATTCGCTTCTTGAACTTACGATTACAGACGTGGCATTGGTGGATGATGGTGGTGCCACGCACTCCGCGGCCCTGAACAACAAAAAGAAGAAAAAAAATCCATTGAGGTCACAGCCTGATGGGAACAACGTTAGAATGTAAAATTACAGAACTGTCCAGCACGCACATAGCGAAATAGGCACATAGCGAAACATGCATATAGTGAGCAGATTTTCAGGCCCAAAATTTGTTCTTACTGGTATTACACAGCAGATGCCGGCAGTACCACATCATTGGAAACATGTTGTAATAATACTTACTTCACTAAAATAATTAGAGGAATGCATTATCAGCAATGAAAAACAGTTTGAGTGTTTGTGGTATCAAGGCTGTGCCTGTTATTATATTAGTAAGCAACATTAATTTGTTTGCATAATAAATGCAATAAGCAATGTACGTATTCTATTTTTTATTCAATTATTTTGACAAGCCCCTGTGCCACCACTATGCCATACATATCTTCATCTGACCTGTAAGAAAGTCTGCAGATACTCCTTGCCGGGTTTGTCCGTGTGGTACTTGCGGACGTGGTTGATCAGAGACTTAAGGGTGGAGTAGTCCTTGCGGCAGATCATGCACTGAGATCGACGGCTGTCGTGGGTCATCTTGTGCTCGATCAGGTGACTTTTGTTGACCGTCTTGAAGTCGCACTGCTCGCAGCGGTAGAACTGACCTGTGTGCTTGCGCATGTGAGTGTACAGGTTTCCTGGGAAATGACCAAAGTCACGAGGCAGGGATTAGATTTAAAGAAAGAGGTGTAACTGCAACAGATTTGGGGTTGTTGGGGTTTTTTGTTGTTGTTTTTTTTGGGAGGGG